CCCCCCCCCCCCGGGTTCACCATTCTCCCCCCTTACCCGTGGTGGGCACCGGCTCCCCCAGGCTGCTGTGGTTCACCCGGCAGGCGTAGCCGTGGCCCCACCGCGAGGGGATCTCCAGGGACTGCCGGATCTGGTAGGTGCCGTCGGCGTGGGGCAGGATCCCGCTGGCATTCATGGGCGGCAGGATCTCCGTCCCATCCCGCACCCAGGAGACGCGGATGGGACGCGGGTAAAAGCCCCTGGCATGGCAGGAGAGGGTGGCGGAGCCGTGGGGGGCGTCTCTGTAGGTCACCGAGATCCCTGGGGGGACTGGAGGGGAGGGGAACACGTCAGCGGGGTGCAATCAGCCCTGAGCCAGTGCGGAGCGGTTGGCAAAGCCCTGAGGCCTAGCGGTCACGGGAACGAGAGGGGCGCTCTGTGGTTCCCTCCGGGCCGTGCCGCCGGCTGCTTGGACTCACCCTGCCGTCCCAGAGCCTCCATCCCGCCCCGCAGCAGGCTCCTCAGGGTGTCCACGCACTCCTCCTGCAGGAACTCCTTTGCAAACAGGGTCCAGGTGTGGCCAGCGTTCCAGAAGTGCGTCTCGTTGGAGGCTCCCGGTGCCAGCGGCACCCACACGGATTGGTCTCTCTCCAGGATGAGGAAATCCTGCCCATCGAAAGCAAAGTGAAACTGCCCTCGCACGGGGGTGTCCCCGTCCAGTGCACAGTTCACGTGCAGCTGCAGGGTGTGGGTTCCTGGGGGAGAGACAGGGAGGAAAAACGATGCAGAATATTGTCTAAGTGTCAGCCCATCTACAGCCCCTGCCCATCCCAATCACTGCAGTGCCCGAGCCCCTCCCCAGCCCTAACACATGTATCCCATCACCCTTTGCCACAGGGCTGGGCCATTGTCCCTGGGTCACAGATGGGGAAACTGAGGCCCAGAGCTCCAGAGTGACTGGGCCCAGCTCACACAGGGCATCGGGCGCACCCGGCATTCCCGCAGAGAGCTCCCGATTTAACTCCAGAACGGGGCGTCTGGCCTCCACGGAGAATCCCCCGCAACCCTGGCTGAGCTGATCCCAGCGGGAGTTACCCCCGGTTCAAATTAGCCCCTTTGAGTTTGTCTCGCTGCAGCCGCCAGCCCTTGGCTCTCGCTCGGCAGCGTCTGGGATCAAAGTGCCGTCTGCGCTCAGAAATCACCGCCCACACGGGTTCTTACCGAGCGGGATAAGTCACTGCACGGACACCCCCCCGGGGCCTGGTTCCCAGCCAGCCTGGGGCCACGGAGACCTGACTCTAGGGAGCAAGAACTCGGCCATGCTCCTGCAGCTGCCCTGATTGGCTGCTCTACCCCCGGAGGCAGGGCAGTGGGGAAGGGCAGCCAATCAGGGCTGGAAATCTCGTGCAGGTTCCCGTGGCCTGGGGCTGCCGGCGGTGAGGTTGCGGGCGCTGGGAGCTCGGCACGGGGGCAGCACTCACCGCCGGTCTGATTTTGCTGCGCCATCCACCGGTGAGTCACCACTCGGGAGATGGCCTCATAGAGCCTGAACTCCTGCGTCTTCTTCCTTAAATAGCTCGCGCCAACGGCCTGCGCTGCCCACTCCCTGAGGGGTTTCACCTCGCGGGTGTCACTGCTGTAGGAGGCGAGCGCCAGCCCGTCCAGCCGGGCGAGCATGAAGAACCTGTGAGTCCCGTCCGGCTCGTTCAGCCCGGTGATCAGGATGTCCAAGCTGTGGGGCTCTGGACCAGCGGGAAAGACAAGATAAAGAGCCTCTTATCCCTTTACTCCGGGGAGGAGGGTTTGCCCCCATGGGTCGGGCTGAGCCCCCATCTCCAATCACACCCCTATTCTTAACCCCCCTCTGCTACCCCAGCGATAGGCCTTGCAGAGAGTCAGTGGAAAAGGGGATGCAGCAGCCATGGGGGTCAGAACAGTGGAGCAGGGCTGTTCCCAAGCCTCACCCACAATGCCAGAGAAACCAGAGGCTTCTGCTAAAATGTTCAGCGGTGACATACTGAGCAAGGTCAATGTGTGCCATCACCATCATTAGGGTTCAGAGTTAACACACCCATTGAGATAAATGGGGCAGCTCAGCCACCGCAGGGCTGTCGTCTCAGGCTGGTTGTAGCCAGTGAGAACCCTCCCCCACCCCGTTAAGGTCACATCTGGGAGGTTTTCATGGCCACTTGAAGGGCCAGGAGTTTTACTGTAGTTTGAGA